TTCTCCCTAACACCTAATCACTTATTTTAGATGTACAGAAAAAAATGTGTTTCTTTTTAAAATTGATAATAGTTAAAACTAAATCTTTATTCTGTGCCAGGTAAGATGCTTTGAGAGCTGTATATGGATCATTTCTTACAATTTCATAACAGTCTTTTATAAAGTATGTATCATTAGCAGCACTTTTATAGTGGACTGTGGCTTCAAGCGGTTAAGTAACTTGCTGTGGTCACATAACTTGTAGTAGCAGAGTTGGGACTTCTGTGTAGTTTGTATGACTCATGCTAACCTTTCCCCTTAATTATTACAGAGTATACCTTCTCTGAGTTTTGGATTTCCTCTTGCCATGTTCTAGAACCTTGTTTCATCAGTTATCCCTTTCCTTTCTTAAAACTTTATTCTATTTTTATCCACCTAGCTTATAAATAAATTTGGGTCTCTTAGCCATTAAAAAGTACAAACAAAAAGCACATTAAAATTTTGTATTTGACTTCTATTTCCCCTCAAGTTACCAGTTCTCTCCTTTCACCAGTAGGGATTTTGTAAGTACAAACTAGATTAACTGCCTCCTATTTCTCACCTGCCATCTGTTCATTCTTGAACTCAGTACAGGTTGGTTGCTGCTGGCACTATGGACTGAAACTACTCTTTTCAGCACCATCACTGAACCATTTTATACCAGATTCAGAAGCCTTTTCAGTTGTATCCTTCCTGCTATTGAAACACTTTGCTGTTCCCCATCTCAGGATTATTAAAACTCAACTGTGGGTCTTTCAATGCTAGTCTTCACTTGCTCTTTTATGTCTCTTAGTTCTTGTTGCTGAGTTGTCCCCCTAAGGTCTCCTGCTTCTTAAGTTTCAAGGATCTTATACTCCTTTCCTCGCTCTTGAGTGAGTGGTTCTGTTCTTACAGTTTCAGCTATTGCCTGAGCCTCTAACTATGCTCTACTCTTGTTTTCTGAATTTGACTTGACCAACCATGTAGGTATTTCCAGTCACCTATGAAACATAGCTACCTAAAATGTTCTCATATCCATTAAGTAAAAGTTCAACTAACTTTTCCCTCACACCTTTTTGCTCTTTCTATGTTCCTTATCTCATTACCTGCCTAATTGCCCAAGTTTAGAGACTGCTAAGTTAATCCAAACTTGTTTGTTTCTCAGATTCTCTATTACTGTGTGGTTTAACTAGCCAGTATACAGTATACCTGCCCCATGCCTCATTTTATTTATTTTTTTTCCATTTATTTTTATTCATTGGAGGCTAATTACATTACAGTATTGTAGTGGTTTTTGCCATACATTGACATGAGTCAGCCATGGATTTACATGTGTTCCCCATCCTGATCCCTCCTCCCACCTCCTTCTCCATCCCATCCCTCTGAGTCTTCCCAGTGCACCAGCCCTGAGCACCCATCTCATGCATCCAACCTGGGCTGGTGATCTGTTTCACCCTTGATAGTATACTTGTTTCAATGCTGTTCTTTCTGAACATCCCACCCTTGCCTTCTCCCACAGAGTCTAAAAGTCTGTTCTGTACATCTGTGTCTCTTTTTCTGTTTTGCATATAGGGTTATTGTTACCATCTTTTTAAATTCCATATATATGCGTTAGTATACTGCATTGGTCTTTATCTTTCTGGCTCCCTTCACTCTGTATAATGGGCTCCAATTTCATCCATCTCATTAGAACTGATTCAAATGAATTCTTTTTAATGGCTGAGTAATATTCCATAGAGTATATGTACCACAGCTTCCTTATCCATTCGTCTGCTGATGGGCATCGAGGTTGCTTCCATGTCCTGGCTATTATAAATAGTTCTGTGATGAACATTGTGGTACACGTGTCTCTTTCAGATCTGGTTTCCTCGGTGTGTGTGCCCAGAAGTGGGATTGCTGGGTCAATATGCCCATGCCTCATTTTAAAAAAATCCTTATTGACTGTGTCCTGGTCCAGGCCTTGGATTCTTATAGGTTTCCAGCTGCTCATGCTACTTTGATTCTCATTTTCCCAGTTTCCACCTTCTCCATACCCATTTTTGATAGGGTTGTTTAGTTAAAACTTGGCAGACCATCATTCTAATTTTTAGGTAATATCCATTCCCTCTGATCTTCATTTATTCAGCAAGTATTTTTTGAATACCTACTGTGTGCTGGACGCTATTCTAGGTGAAGATAGAGCAGAGGACAAAACAAACAAAAATCTTTCCCTTTGTGGAGCTTAGTCTTCATGGGGCAGAAGTCAACAATAAAAAGTAAACTCTGGCTAGAGAGTGATAAGTATCCTTGGGAAAATGATGAAGGTTGATGGGAACTGGGGGTAGAGGAATGGGTTACAATTTGGAATGGGAGAACTAGGGAAAGCTACTCTAAAAGTCACACTAGAGCAAAAATTTGAAGGATTTGAATAGAGTGAGCTGTGTATATATCTGAGGAAGAACATCCAGACTGAAAGACTGATCAGTTCATAGGCCCTGAATGCCAGAGCCTGCCAAATGTGTTCAACAAACAGCAGGAAGCTCTTGTCTCCAGAGAGGAGTGAGCAGAGGGAAGTAAGGAAGTGTGTGTGTAGGACCTTGTAGACCATTTATCTGTAAAGAATAAATCTTAATGAAGTGGAGTAGAAGAGATACAACCTACTTTATATTTTATTGATGTTGGATTGTATAGGGCTGGAGTTGGAAGCAGGGAGACCGTTTAGGAGGATATTGCAGTAATCCAGATGAGAGTTCAGAGTAGCTCAGACCAGGGTTGTAACAGTAAAGGTGGTAAGTAGTGGTTGGGATCCTGGATAAATTTTACAGATAGAACCATTAGATTCTTTTCATATGGGAATGTATGTATATGTTTGGGAGAAAGCAGAGAGTGGAGAAGAAATGATGATTTTAAGGTTTTTAGCCTGAACAGTGTCAAGTACATATTGGATATACTAGCATGGAGAATATATCCTTAAAGGCAGAGGTCCAGGAGACATATGAATTTGGAAGTCATCAGTATTTAGTAATACCGAGCCGTTCGACTGGATGAGTGGGCTTACTCAAAGAACAGAGATCTGAGGACTGAGCCTTAGAATCCTCTGTTCCTTAAGAGATAAAGAATAGAAGAAATAGAGAGCCAGAGAACTGTCCTTAAGATAGGATGAAAGCCAAAAGAGCATCGTGTTCTAAAATCCAACTGAAGCAAGTATTTCAAAGAAGGGAACATGATCGATTATTTCAGATCATTGCTAAGTCAGGTATAAGAGAGGGGGAAGATGATGTCTGAAAATTGGCATTGAATACAGCAACAAGGAGATTATTGACCTTGATGAATAATTCTGAGGGAATAATGGTGGTGAAATTCTATTGGAGTAAGTTTTAGAAGGAGAAGAGCCAGGTATTGGAGAAAGTCAATTTAGACCCCTTTTCTGAAGAATTTTATTGTTAAAAGGTGCCAGAAAATAGGATGGTGGTGATCAGTGCGATTAGAGAGAAAGTTTTTTTTTTAATGATAAGAGAAATAATAGCACGTAATGCTCTCACAAAAAGAGAATAATTGACAGAAAAAAAATTACTAAAGCAATGAGTATGAATAGGAAGAGCAGAGTAGTTTGTTTACATGCCGCAGAGTTTGGCTTAGAAAGGGGCTTGGTCAGCTTATCTCTAGTTAGAGTAGTGAAGGAAAAGTATATGGGGACAGAAGCTGGAAAATGGGTACATGTAGTGGTGCAAGCAAGGTTATAAGCTGAAGGTGAGGATGAAAAAACAGTTATAAAAACAGGGAGCAGGGCTTTGCTGTTGTTTACCGAGTCATTTGTTAGAAAGTAAGGGTAATGCTGGACCATGGGTTTTAAGCTAGGTATGGAGGAAAGAGAGGAGAACATGAAAGACTGGGGAAAAGTGTAAAGGTAGTAGGGTAAATGGCATGTAACTGTTTCCTGAGATCTGTTGTGTTCTTTGACCCCCCACATCTTGAATGTAGTTTTCTGTCTTCCTGAAATGCCCTCTCATACTGAATTTAGATGATATGTCTTATATCTGCACCCTTCCTTCCTTCCTTCCTCTGCAGTGACTGCTGACATAATAAATGCTGAAAATTGAAATTCTCCACTTTAGTTTGTTAGATAAGATGACTTCAAACTGGGAAGATTGTAAAGTTTTGCCTGCAGATTTTCCCACTCGGTAGCCAGTTCTGGACTTGAACACAGGGTTCTCAGCTTTGTGTTCTGCTTCAGTTTGCTTATCTGATATTCACATGAACATGGTGAAGGTAGCACTCTGTTCTTCTTTCCTCCTTGGTACTTAGTTGGAATTCCCTTCTTTCTTTCCACTGATCTTGGATTGGTGTCTTTATGCTGCTGTGAATAGATGTTTAAACATAAGACTTGTAGTATTCTTGTGAGTATGATAACTTAGTGCCTTATAAGTTATTCTTTTGTTTTTGTTCAGTTAATTGTAGAAGACAAGTGGTTATTTTACTAATTATAGGCTATAAATGACTATAAAATCTTTTTGTAAGGTTAAAGAAATTTTGAAGTCCAGCTTTTCATGTTATAGTTGAAGAAATGGAAGCATATACAGATTAAATGACTTGCATGCATCAGTTAACAATGCCCATCTCTTAGATCCCAGTTCAGTACTTACTCTACTACTGTGACACCTTTCCTGATAGGATATGAGGTGAGGGCCATGATTCTCAAACTAGAAAATACTAAATTTTATGACAGGTGATACCCTCTAAAATTGTATAACCAAAATAATAGTTTAAATGTAATTAGAAATTGTACCAGTATTGAAATGACTGTTTTTGCCATGAAATTGTTAGTTTAAAAAAAATGTGGTAGATTTGTTTTTGCTATTATGGTTATATTCTGAATTTATTTTTTATAATTAAAATTGAACACATGAATCTTTGCTTTAAAAATCCAAATAAGTGAATGTATAGAGAATTTACTCTAATTTGAATATTTAAAGACTAGTTCCTAATTTTGTTTTTTTTGGTTTGTTTTTAATAAACTCTTTCAGAAAGATGAGGTCTATCTTAATCTGGTGCTGGACTATGTTCCGGAAACAGTCTACAGAGTTGCCAGACACTATAGTCGAGCCAAACAGACGCTCCCTGTGATCTATGTCAAGGTATGTAAAAATGGAGCAGTTTCCCATTTTAGAAGGTATTTATTATGAGCAAAGGAGAGTGCTGGGTATGTTTTAACTATATTATTGCATCATACTGAGGAGAGAAAGCTGCAAAGTAGGTATTTCTACTACTTTGTTTCATTATATTTGTGTACAGTTTTAAAATGTGAAGCCTTGACCTTTTAAACTTTCATGACTCAGGTACTAAAAATACTTGTCATCTTTCTGACAAATGAATTTTTTCACAAATAATTATGGATTTTAATTTAGGTACCCATAGCACCTTTTTATTTAATTTCTTAAATCCCTTGTTGTGCAGAGCAAGCATATCATATAAAACTATAAAAAATATGGTTATAAATATTAATAAATTGAATGTTTTATTGCCATTTATAGATATAGTGTGTCTTTAGCAGAAGTTTAAACTTTTGATCATTTTAAATATGCAGAGACTTTGTTCATGTATTATTTAATTTGGGGAACCTGATACCAATGTTAATCTTATTTATTTGCTGTAACTCATGTTAATAGTGCTTACGCTTAGTCATGTCTGACTCTTTCTGACCCCATGGACTGTAGCCCACCAGGCTGCTCTGTCCATGGAATTTTTCAGGCAAGAATACTGGAGTGGGTTGCCATTTCCTCCTCTAGGGGAACTTCCCATCCAGGGATCAAACCTGTGTCTCCAGGGTCTCCTGCATTGGCAGGTGGATTCTTTTACCACTGAGCCACCTGGGAAACCTACAACCCATGTTAGAGTAGCTGGTAATTGATCGAGCATAATTATGAAGTTGTTGCCAGGAGAAATGTCAATATATATATAACTTATATGCCGAGTCGATAATGCAAAATGCTGGGCTGGATGAAGTACAAGCTGAAATCAAGATTGCAGGGAGAAATATCAATATCCTCAGATATGCAGATGACACCACCCTTATGGCAGAAAGCAAAGAAGAACTAAAGAGACTCTTGATGAAAGTGAAAGAGGAGAGTGAAAAAGTTGGCTGAAAAGTCAACATTCAGAAAACTGAGATCATGGCATCTGGTCCCATCACTTCATGGCAAATAGATGGGGACACAGTGGAAACAGTGACAGACTTTATTTTGGGGGGGCTCCAAAATCACTACAGATGGTGACTGCAGCCTTGAAATTAAAGACGCTTACTCCTTGGAAGGAAAGTTATGACCATCCTAGACAGCATATTAGAAAGCAGAGACATCACTTTGCCAACAAAGGTCCGTCTAGTCAAGGCTATGGTTTTTCCAGTAGTCATGTATGGATGTGAGAGTTGGACTGTGAAGAAAGCTGAGCACCGAAGAATTGATGTTTTTGAGCTGTGGTGTTGGAGAAGACTCTTGAGAGTCCCTTGGACTGCAAGGAGATCCAGCCAATCCATCCTAAAGCAGATCAGTCCTGGGTGTTCATTGGAAGGACTGATGTTGAAGCAAACTGAAACTCCAATACTTTGGCCACCTGATGCGAAGAGCTGACTCATTTGAAAAGACCCTGATGCTGGGAAAGATTGAAGGCAGGAGGAAAAGGGGATGACAGAGGATGAGATGGTTGGATGGCATCACTGACTCAATGGACATGAGTTTGAGTAAAGTCCAGTAGTTGGTGATGGACAGGGAGGCCTGGCATGCTGCAGTCCATGGGGTCGCAAAGAGTCAGACACAACTGAGCAACTGAACTGAACTGAATTATGAAGTTGGAGTAGATTATTAGAAACAGATTATTATTTGTTTAACTATGACATTGTGAAAATTAACTAGGAGTTTTAAGCTTAAACCCTGGAGAAGGGAAAGCCTACCCACTCCAGTATTCTGGCCTGGAGAATTCCGTGGACTGTATAGTCCATAGGGTCACAGAGAGTCGGACACGACTGAGTGACTTTCACTAAGTTTAAAAGTTCAGATATCTTAAGTACAGTTTTTTGCATTTTGCCTTTTATATAAATAACTCTAGAAAATAAAATGGCATTGACTGTAAATGTGTTTGAGTATCAAAAGTTTTACTTAATAGTTACAATTTTAAGCTTTATAGTAATAAAATGGATTTTGCTGATGAGATTTCTATAGTATTGTTAGTATGTTCCTCTTTCCTAAGTGTTTCATGTAAATTGGTGATGAGATATATTTTTGTAGGAGTCAAAACACTACATTTATAAATGATACTTTATGTCAATGCTTTATCTTACCTTTAACTGTCTTTTTGTAGTTTTGCACCAAGACACTGGTATCTTTGATTTGAATCATTTCAAAAGTTCTTTTCATGGTATATAACTTTGGGTTAGAAGTAAGAAGGTGAGTAGTCAGAAAAATTTATAAGTGAACCAGAACACCAACCTTGAAAAATAGACAGTTTAAGATACACTCATGTTCTTTACACAAGACCCCCTTTTCACCAGTCAAGAGTCTATTTCTTTCTTTGACACAGACCCAGTTTTTCAGTGTATCTTGTTTTGTAATAAAATTGAATTTCTTTTCTTTGACTAATGTCAGTTGTCATCTCAAATATGCTTTTAAATGGCATTTTGAAGTCTACTGAATTCTGAATGATATTAACAGAAGAGTGGTGATGCTATTAATAGATTTACTGATGTCTTGAATAGATCATTGATTATAGATTTTCTCAGTTCACACATGAGTTTTCCCAGACCTCTGTATCAATAACCTCTGGGCCTGACAAAGGATGATGAATTGGGGGGAAAAAAAACCAAACAGAACACTAACTTATGGTCTGATTGTTACTTAGTAGTCATACGATTTGGAATATCCCTCTGAGTTTTTAAATTTGTGCTTAGGAAAAAAAAACAGTCTTGTGGTTAGTAAAATGAAAAATTACAAAAGCAAATTGTAAAATTTCCTTTTTTAAGTTGTTAAAAGATGTTATACATAGATGTTACAAATATAACATTGGTTAACTAAACTATAATTAGCTAGTTGATAGAGAAATGCCATGAAGCTTGCTAAAGAAAGATTGAGAGCTAACAATCCCCAGCATTTCACTTGTTCTTTTTTGGAAATCTATTACTATGTTTCCTGCTTAAGGATTCTGAGTTGTTTGGGATAGAAAGTAAGTATTCAATTAATGTTTACTCTTTATTCCAGTTGTATATGTATCAGCTGTTCCGAAGTTTAGCCTATATCCATTCCTTTGGAATCTGCCATCGGGATATTAAACCACAGAACCTCTTGTTGGATCCTGATACAGCTGTCTTGAAACTCTGTGACTTTGGAAGGTAAACTAGCTCTCTTTTTCCTTCCTTCTCTAATCTTCAACCCCACCCTTCTACCCTATCTGTTCTTTCAGTTACCTTTCGTTACACTTATTCAGGGAGTATCAACTAGTGCAGTTTCTTGTGAGGGTAGTTTTGGTAAATTCTCTCAGAATTATAAGTGTGTATAGTCTTTCCACTCAGCAATTTTAACGCCTAGAAATTGTTCCCATTTATTATGTGTATACATTCCTTTTTCAGTAAGAACTATTTTTTAAAAAAAAATATTATTATACCTTACTGTGTATTATGTTAACTGTGTATTGAGTTAGTCTCAATTTAGAGATGAGGTCAAAGGCTTAGTAGCTGTGTTTTTTTCCTTTTCCTCTACAATTTAGTTTATTTCTCTCTTCTCTATTGCAGGTTACAGTTTTCTTTCTGTCTTCTTAAATGCATAGCTTGGAAAAACATATAATGTAATAAGGATTCATCTTTTTCATCTTTATAGTTGAGCATTTTGTGCCTCTCTGATCTGACCTTTCAACATGAAATCAAGCCTGTATCCACATGTAACTCAGGCAGTTAAACTTTCACTTCCTCTCTAGTGTAATCACCCAGAGTACTCTCTCTTCTTGTAATCCCTAAGACATCATATGTCTTGAATACTCTCCAGTTTTTTTCATCCTCGCAAATGCTTGCTTTCCATTTCAGCTGCTTATAGATATTGACCCACACCTGCTAATATTGGTATTCCTTCTTCTTTGTAACACTTTTCATATCAACCCACAGATTAAATTTTGGTTTTAATATAGTATATATTTTCCACAGGTTGTCTCTTGGGAAAAAGTCTTTAAAAAAAAAAAAAGCACATCTGTTTTGTCATGAGTTAATTCTTAGTCTCACAAAAATGTTCTTTTAGATCATCTCCTTTTTACAGTTTTCTAATTTCAGACATCTATCACAGGATCCAACTCATTTTGCAGGACTCTTAACTGTTCCTTCAACTGTAAAAAATGGGTAAAGGATTTTAAATCAAAAACTCTTATTTGGTGCTTGAAACAAGCATCTGTAGGATCAAATGCCCAAATCAGATGAATTTTATTGTTATGGGATGTCTTTCCCCTGCTTGAGAGTGACTGACTGGTGTAGACTGTAAAAATATTTTTGAGATACCAAGTTAGGAGTTTCTGTTCTCACCATAGTTTTAGAACAGTGTTGCTATGGGAGTTTTATTGGGATATAAAAATCACTTTGTTTTAATATGTTTGGGATAGGGATTTCACTTCTGTCGTAAGAATAGTTCACTTTTAATGGCTTTCATAACAGAGCTACTGTTTTGTTTTTAAAAACGTCTAGTTTGAGCAAGTAAAGTTTGGGATACACTTTGAAGGCAGCTCCATCAAGTAGTGAAAGAAATCTATAGGCTGTGGTATTTCTAATATTACCTTTATCTTATAGTGAATTTTATGACAATGTAATTGGAATCTGTCTTGTTAATTTAATAAATCCTTTATAAGGTAGAAACTTTTATCAGTTGTGCTATGAAAGTGTCTTAATTTTCATACAGCCTAAAACAGGGACTAGTATTTATTAATTTATGAAATGGTTGCTGTATGTCGATAAACTGTCTCCCACCTTCAAAACTTGTGATGAAGAAAGATCAGGTTATGGTCAGCGTTATCAGAGAACAGAAATAAATGGAAGAAAAGACAGCCCAAACTGAAACCTTTGTGACTATTTTCGTCTGCCTCTACTCTGATTTTCTTGTACCTTTACCTTAAAAGATTTTTTTTACCTTTTTTGTTACTTAATTTTTTACTATTTTGATTTTGTTGTTTGTATTTAGTTCCTGAGTTTATGTTTCCTATTATTGTAAGTCAAAATGGTTAGCTTCTATAGCAGTTTATTTCAGTGTGTCTTCAAGTTATTTTGAGACATTTCAAAAGAAACTAATTTTAATTTAATATTTAAAATACATGCCACAAAGTATTTGGAAAGGAAAGTTGAATTAGAGAGTATGTGATTTGTTAATGATTTGCAACAGTGGAATTAGAATTCATAGGCTGTGAATTATCTCTGCCCTACAGGAAAGGATAGCAGATGTTAAGACATCTAATAAATTGACCAAATGGTGGAAAATATAAAGTAGGTTGGGTCTGCAAGCCATGGGATACTCACTCTGAATCAGAAGTCAAATTTTAATAGAGTGGCCAATTTCTTACCCATTTAAAAAACATGTTGGGTAAGCAGTATTCATTCGTATAATCAATTACAGTGCTTTTTGGTGAGGGGAGGTACCTCTTATATTTCTGCCCTTCTTTCTTTGTATTTTAGAGTGAAATTCAGGGGAAGATAGCAGAAGAAATTCAACATTTATCATTTTTTGATTTTTTAAAAACTTTTTCTTCAGGTGACAGTTGGCAAATGCATTCTTTAAAAGTTACTATTTTTTTTCAGAGTGATATGTTAAAATTATGTTTCTTTTGTTAGAGATAGTTATGGCTCATATTTTCTTTTTTTATATATTGCATGATTGGAATTCTGGGACCCTTAGATTAAATATTGTATTGCAAATGATAGCAGTTAAGGTTCTTTTATGGTTTAGATATAATTTAAATAATTTCTGCTTTTGATTTTTTTTTATTAGTGCAAAGCAGCTGGTCCGTGGAGAACCCAATGTTTCGTATATCTGTTCTCGGTACTATAGGGCACCAGAGTTGATCTTTGGAGCCACTGATTATACCTCTAGTATAGGTAAGTACTGTATCTAAATATAGTAGCTTGTAATTATGCATTGTATCTTGTTGTTAGTAATTTAGTAGTACTAATCTATACTTAAATATAAAGATAAATATGCCTTGAAATATGTTTCTTCTTAAAGATTTATATATAAAAATGTATAGAATTTAAAATATATTTACTATTCTACTTTTAGGTTTCTTAGATTATGAGAGAATAATAAAGCTACTCTTCTGTGATTGTATGATTTCTTGAAGATTACAGTTATTTTAAACTTAAAATTTTAAATAAATTCTAAGTATACCTTTTCTTCACTTAAAAAATTCCCCTGAAATAGTTCTCTCTGAGCTTGATCACCAGTTGGAGAATTTTCATCCATTAAGTTTATGATTAAAGTGATAGGATTACCATATTACTGACACTCATACTGTGCTGACTCAATTGATTATTTAATTTTAAATCAGCTTTAAAAAATTTACTAACTTGTTCATTAGTAGTTTGAATAAACTCACTGGTTCTGCAGCAGTTGTCACAGATCTTTAAGGACAGAAGGCATCGAGTAGACAGCTTGCTTCATTCTTTGTTGACCACCTCTTCTGCCTTGTTTAGCCCACTAGCAGGAGTGAACGTACAGAGTTGGAACAGTTGGATGTGAATAGGAAGCTAAGAAAGTAACAATCTTAGGCATGCAGGTAGTTTATTTTATTGTTATATGTTGTTTTTGAAGAGAATTCCTTAGTCCAAAAACAAACAAAAGCATATAAAGACCAAACAAAAAACAAAACCCCACAATAACATAAAGTCAAGGAAAAATCAGAACTTGGACAATTTGTCTTTTATACAAGTTGAAATTCTCTAATATGAACAAAGACCTCTACACAGTTTATTACTAATACTAGCCTTTTTTTTTTTGCCAAAGGGCAAAATGCCAAGGAACATTTTTATTTGTGCAAAGAGGCCAGCAGTTTTATCCACCATTTCTTTTGCACCCTCAGTGCAAATGTCAGCATAGTGAAAACATATAACATCTGAGGGTTCTTATGAAAATAACTTCGCCCTCAGGACCTCTGAAAAGGTCCGGGAGGCTCAGGGCTCTGCAGATCATACTTTGAGACCTGCTGCACTGGATAGAGTATAATAGAGTGAGTGAGTGAGTATGTGTGTGTCCTACTCCACTGGATAGAATATGTGAGAGAGAGAGAGAGTGTGTGTGTTTATAATGCTCAGAGTTTCATCATGGCTATGTTACATGGCCTCTTCTATTCAGGATCAAATGAGAAATAGTGAAAGGGATATTTTGGTTAGAGTAGACCTGAATTTGAATTCCAGGTTTATTACTACTTATCTAAACTGTAAAAAAGATTAGTAACAGTTTTGCTTACCTTTCTGAGTGGCCATGAGTATTAAATAAAATTTTAGTGAAAGTACTGTAGAAAAAGTGGTATTCTTTTTGTGGTATGTGTTAACTTGACTCTTCCCAAAGAGCAAATTTCAGCCCTTAATCTTTGGACAGTCTTTGGATTTTCTAGATGCTTTATATTTCATTCACATATATGAAATTAATCATCTGCATACCAGGAATGAGATTCATACTGGGGTGAGTTCTGCCAGCCTCACCTAAAATAAATGTGGTTTGCTTCTTTCTAAAAAGTGATGATAATATCATCTGACATATTAAGGCATATTTATATAAACCTTTGACCCTCTTAAGAGTTTATTACTTCTGTAAATGTCCATGTGCTTAGCAGTTCTTTGGGAATCTTCTCACAAAATAAGGGCCAGTGTAGTATGTTTTCTCTATTAGGAATCCGTTTTTTGGATGTTATGAGTACCTGCTTTCCAGCAGTCTCCTTCACATTTACTTGTCTAAAGTAAAGTAAATCTCCTAAAACCAGATTCTGACTTTCTAGATTTAGGATTCCCCATACTCTATTGATGCAGCTGGGGCCGTTGAACCCTCTCAAGCCTAGATTTGGCCTCCCTGTTTAGATATAGGATACTTGCTTCTTAAGACTCTGGAAGATTTGTAAACAAAAAGATATTTAAAAGTGTACTAATACAAATACATTTTAGAAGCATTTTTTAACAATGATGTTAGAAGAGTAGCTGGGCAAAATCAACTTGAATTTCTTAAATGAATTTTGTGTCATTATTTGCTCGGCCAGTAAAAAGTAGTTAATTGGAGCAAGGATTTCCAATTCTTTTTTTTTTTTTTAATATTGGAGGATAGCTGATTTACAATATTGTATTAGCTTCCAATTCTTCTGATAGTGCATCTTACAGCGTTAAAATGATTAAATTATTTGTTGTCACACATGCCATTAGTCATTTTTCTCCTTCCCTACTGATAGGTGGAAAGCCCAGTGACAATTTATGTTCATCTCTCTAAAGCCATTGTTTGTTGGTTCATACAAAACCCAGGAATCCAGAAAATTAGCGCTTTTTTTTTTTTGCAGTAGGTCTTAAGTAGTGGGCTCTAAATAAAGTGCCCATAAAATGTATTTTTCCATTTGGTAATACTTTTAAGAGATAAAGGGGATGCTTTCATTATTATCACAGGAAGTCATCTAGACCAGGACTGACTGTTGTGGGTAAGCCAGGATATATGCTTTATTTTTTCCTTTTGTAAATTTATTTATAAATCTTTAAAATTTATTTAAGCTTTCTGTCAAAATGAGGTTTCTTACTTGACTCAAAAGTGAATTATATTTTGTAATTTGTAAAATACAATGTATTCTTCTGTCTTTGCATTTCAAATATTCATATATTTAAGCACATTTTCTGTCAGTTATATTACAAGACAAAAGTTAGCCATTTAAAATATTAAAATTTTCTTTTTCTGAAATTTACACTTGGCTTACTCTCCTGTGTATAGGAGATTGAACCCTTCTTGTTACTCTCTATAAGCACCTGCTAATGTGCAGAGATTGTATTACTTGACTTATTTTTAAGTATAATAAGTAAATAATCATGCCCTATGCTTTCATACTATAATCTCTGTCTTGGTTGTTGAAGACTTGAACATCTGATACTGGATAATTAATGTAGATATTACATATAATAAAGATATTACCCTTAATTAGAATATTCTTATCGCCCTGTTTCATGTTTAGTAAGTTTAACACAGTTTTAAAATCTATAAGGATTATTTGTGACTTTTCCCCTGTTTTGGGTTATACAATCTTTACCTTATGGTATTCATTCTGATCAAAGTAAAATTAGAAAATGTATCAGTTTTTAACACAACATAAGCTACAAAGTGTAATATTAATAAGCTCTTATTTTCTTTTCTCTTCAGATGTATGGTCTGCAGGCTGTGTGTTGGCTGAGCTGTTGCTAGGACAGCCAATATTTCCAGGAGACAGTGGTGTGGATCAATTGGTAGAAATAATCAAGGTGAGAAACTGTGTCTGTTTTCTGGTTTTGTTCACTATGTGCTCTGCTCGTAATACTCTGCTGAGCACTTAGGAGATGCTTGTATTTAGTCAGTATTTAAATATTTATAAAATGAAAAAATGAGTATGTATGACTAGACCACTTGATAGAAGCAGAATTTTTACGTATGGGTTTAATATAATTTTATTTATTAGGTCTGTCAAAACCTTTGTTAACAACATCATAGAAAGTATTATTATCTTGGATATTGGATATTATCTCTTGAGAATAGAAGCACTAAGATTTTAAAGCTTTTAATATTGATCTCTTAAATAAGTTCTCAAACCTCCCCCATTAGAAATATCTAGGGTCTCTATATTCAGACCACTAGATGGTTGATTATAAGCTTAGTTTGTCTTCTGAAGCAACACCTACCTTCTATTGGGTTTTAGTCTTGATTTTCCAAATGTTTCATAGAAGTGGAAAATTGAAAATCTCCTTAACGGTTTTGTTCATCCCAATTCTCCATCCAATGAGAGAACCTACTTAGTTACATTCCTGGGAGATGGTTTTTCAGTGTTTTCTTGAATACTTCAAGCATCATATCGCTACTTTGGAATGCATCCTGTTCTATATCTGGACAGCTTGAATTTAGTTTTTATTGGGCTGAGCAAGCCTCAGAGTTTTTGTTTTTATGTATTTATTTTTTTATTGTTTAAAAAGTTTATTTTATGTTGGCATATGGTTGATTAACACTGTTGCGTTGGTTTCTGGGCACAGCAGAGTGATTCATTTATACATATACATGTATCAGTTCTTTTTCAAATTCTTTTCCCATTTATGTTATTACAGAGTATTGAGCAAATTTCCCTGTGCTGTACAGTATGTCCTTGTTGGTTCTTTTTAACTTTTACTGGTTATTTCCTGGACTGTGATTAAGTTGTTTTAAAATCCTTGTACTTGATTTGCAAAAATATTTTTGAAAAAATGATTTTGCTAGGTATCACTGTGTGCAAGTGTGATTGAAAACACCGTGTGTGATCATGAATCTTCCTTACTATCCATATAGTTTCTTTATGATTTGTACCTGAGATCACTGCTATTTGCCGTCTTTTTTTGGTAACTCATCTTTCAGTTTCAGATTGAAGCTTTCAGGTTAGTTCAGCAGATCTGCATCCTTCCTGATTCCTACACTACACTCAGATCTAAGTTCGGATAATTTGGTTTTCTTGTTTCCTAAAAGCCTTTGTATTCTTTGTTATTATTCAAATTAGTATTCTAATACAGGAGTTGGCAAACTTTCTGTAAAGGGCTAGATAAAACGTTTTAGGCTTTGTCGGCAAAAAATGGAAGTCACGGATGTCTGAGATACATAACAGAAAACAAAACAGGACAGAAAACAGAAAAACAAATTTTCACAAATTTTTCATTGATGAAATTCAAATTAATGTAATAATTGAGTAATGCAAGTCTATTGATTAGAAGAATGAGTTTCTTTTGAGGAGCATGTGAAAATTCTCTTAATCATGGTTCAAAGTCAGTGTTTCATAGCCTTGAATTGAGGGCAAATATTTATCTTTAAAATCATTTCTTAGTTCATGTTAGTTCAGTTGCTCAGTCATGTCTGACTCTTTGAGACGCCATGAACCGCAGCGCGCCAGGCCTCCCTGTCCATCACCAACTCCCGGAGTCCACCCAAACCCATGTCCATTGAGTCGGTGATGCCATCCAGCCATCTCATTCTCTGTCGTCCCCTTCTCTTCCCTCCCTCAATCTTTCCCAGCATCAGGGTCTTTTCAAATGAGTCAGCTCTTCGCATCAGGTGGCCAAAGTATTGGAGTTTCAGCTTCAACATCTGTCCTTCCAATGAACACCCAGGACTGATCTCCTTTAGGATGGACTGGTTGGATCTACTTTCAGTCCAAGGGACTCTCAAAAGAGTTCTCAGACACCAAGTTCAAAAGCATCAGTTCTTCAGCACTCAGCTTTCTTCACAGTCCAACTCTCACATCCATACATGACCACTGGAAAAACCATAGCCTTGACTAGACCAACCTTTGTGGACAAAGTAATGTCTCTGCTTTTTAATATGCTATCTAGGTTGATCATAACTTTCCTTCCAAGGAGTAAGTGTCTTTTAATTTCATGGCTGCAATCACCATCTGCAGTGATTTTGGAGCCCAGTAAAATAAAGTCAGCCACTGTTTCCACTGTTTCCCCATCTATTTGCCATGAAGTGATGGGACTGGATGCCATGATCTTAGTTTTCTGAATGTTGAGCTTTAAGCCAACTTTTTCACTTTCCTCAAGAGGCTTTTTATTTCCTCTTCACTTTCTGCTATAAGGGTGGTGTCATCTGCATATCTGAGGTTATTGATATTTCTCCCGGCAATCTTGATTCCAGCTTGTACTTCCTCCAGCCCAGCATTTATCATGATGTACTCTGCATATAAGTTAAACAAGCAGGGTGACAATATACAGCCTTGACGTACTCCTTTTCCTATTTGGAACCAGTCTGTTGTTCCATGTCCAGTTCTAACTGTTGCTTCCTGACCTGCATACAGGTTTCTCAAGAGGCAGGTCAGGTGATCCCGTATTCCCATCTCTTTCAGAATTTTCCAGAGTTTATTGTGATCCACACAGTCATGGGTCCTCTGGATTGGGCCATAGTTTGCTGACTAATCAAGTCAATACAACCAATCAGCATTTCTTCTATCCCCAGGCTTTCAGTTTGATGTATTTGAATTTACCACACCACAGTTCTCTGTACATATCACCATTTAATTTGGCATATATGTTTAGCTTATTAGAACTGTCATTTCTCTACCAATTATAACTTAGAACCATGTGATGGTTTATTCTTTGTCACTAATTTTAATGAGTTCATACATGAGATTAATACAGATGAAATTGCTTAGAAGCTAAGCTGGATAACTGTGATAAGTCATATATTTCATGCTTGCCATCATATCTTGTAAACCTTTAAGTCCAAAGCTTATTTACCACTTTTTCTCAGCCCTCCTAATTCCATTTTCTACTAATATTGGTTTGTTCTTATTTAATTTTAGTAGAAACTGTCAGTTTTGTTATTGATGTTTTATGACTTCATTTTTATTTAGGGCTTATTTGTTGCAGGTTGTCCATGATTAATTTGTTGTAGTAGGCCAACTCTAAAACAAAACACTTCTCATTTATATATTATCTTGTCATCTTGTACTTATACATTGTCATCACCTAGCTAAGTTCCAAGATCACTATATAGATATTTTGAAGGTGTTATAATGGATGTTAGACAACGTCCCAGGACAGTTTGGAATATCAAACTTCTCAGCCCTTTTTACAGTTTTTAAGCAATACCACCCAGGGTAGATAAAATATCAGTATTAATTTACCACCCATTTGGTGACCTGAAGTTATACATTTCATTGAGGTTAATCAATAGACATTGTAAGGGTGTGGTGTGTATGTGTGTGTGTGTGTAGTATAGCTCTTAAATCTTACTGCATGGAGGTTAATAAACATTGTAGGAATTTTGTGTGTGTTTAATATAGCTCTGAGTCTTGTTGATCCTGTCTGTACACTTGTACTTTACATATTGAATATCTGTGATGTTTCATTGAAATAAGAAAGCATAGCTAATTCTAATGTAACTGTTCCAGTTTTCCTGATCTAAGTTGTATGTCAGAAAAGAGTTGTATAGGTTAGTTTTCAAAGTTAAATGTTATTAAGACGTTTTATATTTTAAGCGAATATTGCCATTTCTGCTAATCAGGACTTCAAGAATAGATTTGAGTTTTCTATGAAAAGTGGTCTCCCAGGTGCCCAACTCCAGCCTCAGTTTTTTGAGATGTTAGTCATGAGCCCTTAGTTCTTTTGGAAACTAGGGAATCTGTGTTACTGTCATTCTCTGCTCTCTTTCTATTTTCTTTCTTGAAAACCTCATGGGTATTCCTCTTGAGTATCTGGAGGTAGCTGATATACCCCCAAACCCATAAAATAGTTACTCTTTTCTTTGAATTTGAGTTTATGCAGAAAGGGAACAGTCGTACAGCAAACTTCATAAATTTTATAAATGGGAGAATTGCCTAATTATAAACTTTCTGAGCTGAACATAAGCTCTAATCTGATGTGAAAAACTAACTCATTCTGAAAGACCCTGATGCTGGGAAAGATTGAGGGCAGGAGGAGAAAGTGGCCACAGAGGATGAGATGATTGGATAGCATCATTGACTCAATCAATGGACATGAGTTTGAGCAAACTCCGGGAGATAGTGAAGGACAGGGAAGCCTGGTGTGCTGCAGTCCATGGGGTCACGAAGAGTCAGACATGATTTAGCGACTGAACAACAAACTTTCTGAGTGGGAACTTTCTTTTATTGTTATGTTTTACTATCCAAAGGCACCATAATAGTTTTCAAGAAATAGCTAAGCTGAATTAAGCTGCTAGATCAGTGTTCATCAATGAATTTGGAATTACCTGGGAATTAATAAGAAAAGTTAGTGTGATTGTTATTGTATATGCTGTTTATTAAACTTTATTGGCTTGGATGTCCATGCCAATAATTCATAGAATAAGTAACACAGAGTATTATAAACTGAGCTAACTTAGCGTAACATTTTAAATCTCCTCCCTATCTATCCTCAAACAATGCTTTTGCAGAATATTAAAATTAAAATATCTTCAGAGTAAGTTAGTAGTATCGGGCAGTATGGCATTGAAAGTCATGAAAAATCATTTTTAAACATGAAAAACACCTAGCTTTCTGAGATTGATTTCATACAGAGGATTATCAGATCAGAGTCTTATTATACCTTTTAATCTCTGAGTATCAAAAAAGTGCTTAACTTTTCAAAGCATTTGTAGATAAGAGAGATTCTGTTTGGGAAGTCTCAGATAATAGGATTTCTTAAATTCTTCCTTAACATACTAGGTAAAATAATCTTAAGACATATCTGATGTGGTTTCAGATACCTGGGGAAAATAAAACATTTTGGGAGTACATATGTCAGAAATTTCACAA